CTCTGCCCCACCTTCCCACCGGCTACCCGCGATGGGCCGTATTTTGTATTTTTCCTCAAGATGGCCCGCATGGAGGGTTCGCAGAAATGTACCAGTAAAAGGGAATTTTCGGTCGCCACCATCTACAAAGAACACGATGGATTCTGCCTTGACTGGAGGGGAGGAGTAAAACGTAACGTGTGGAAATCAGAACAAAATAAGGTCCTCCCAGCTGGGCATGAACGCCAGCCCCAAGCGTTGATGCCCGGGGTGCTCTGTGTTTGCCGTAAAGGGGAGCAGGGTGCTGGGCAGACGTTAGGGGCAGACAGCATCACCCACATTCGCCCTGACTGCAAAGGACAGCTCCTGGATGGGGGGCCTTGGCTGCTGGGTCTGTGCACAGGCTGAGTCACCTCGGGGACCAGTAGGGACGGCACCCCCCACTTTGGGGAACACTGTCCATTTCACAGTGATCTACTCCGAACTGCACGCCCTGCAGCCTATAGCAGGAAGTCCAAAAGCTCAGGCCGCCTGCAGGGAGACACCGGGCCACCCGGCCTGATGCTTAGATTCTCAAACCACACCAGACTTCTCACCATTTTCCCTAGGTGCCTGGCCCTTCCCCATCCCCAGGCCTTTGCACAGACACACGGTCCCTCTGCCGGGGGCGCTGTCACTTTTCCCTGTGTCTGTTCCAGAAGGATCACTCAGGCTCTGATCAAGTCAGTCCCAGCAGATGCCAGCAAGGTCCCAATCCCAGAGAGATCAGAGAAGGCTCTTTCCAGTCCAGGAGAACTTGAGAGCAGGCTCAATGCTTCCGGGACCACCTGACTACAAACAGAATGGAAAGGTCTAGGGGCGCCTGGGGGGCTCAGTCGGTAGAGCGTCCGACTTGGGCTCAGGGCACGATCTCACAGCTCGTGAGTTCCAGCCCCGCATCGGGCTCTGTGCTGACAGCTCAGAGCCTGGAGCCTGCTTCCGATTCTGTGTCTCCCTCTCTCTCCGCCCCTAACCCACTCGCATTCTGTCTCTGTCTCTCTCAAAAATAAATAAACATTTAAAAAAAAAAAAAAGAACTGGAAAGTTCTGTTCTTTTTTCCTTCTGGGATACCGCCTTTCTGCACTCACAACGGGACGCGGTCCAGAAATCTGGATTGAAAATGTGGGATTTCATCATTTATAATATTTTTTAAGTGATGGTCCAGAGGTTGCATGATGCGCATTAGGAATTTCTTTTTCCCCCGGATCCCGTGGTTTTGTCTAAGCTGACACAGCACCCGAGACAATCAGAGAAGAGAAATCTCCTTGGGGCTGAACCACAAGAAACCGTCTGTCCTTGCAGCCTTGACAAGGGGTGTCTGTCCACAAACACCCACAGTTGCACAGGCTGGGGCACAAAGTCTCAGACAGGATTCTCTGCCAGTTGCTGCTGTGACCCCGGGTGGAATGTCAGCACGTCCCCCCAAACACCCAGACACCAGATTCCCCCGTGTCCACCGTGGAGGGCACTGCTCTATTCTGGAACGAGACGACCTATGTCGATGCTTCTTCAAGAAGGAAGCCAAGAAGGGAGAATGGGTAGATGAAACGTGGTCCATCCACGCAGTGGAATATCACTCAGCCACTGAAAGGAACGGAGCCTGACACACACTATAACATGGACGAGCTTTTTATGGGGCGCCTGGGTGGCGCAGTCGGTTACGCATCCGACTTCAGCTCAGGTCATGATCTCGCCATTCCCGAGTTCAAGTTCCGCGTCAGGCTCTGTGCTGACAGCTCGGAGCCTGGAACCTGCTTCCGATTCCGTGTCTCCCTCTCTCTCTCTCTGCCCCTCCCCCACTCACGCTCTGTCTCTCTCTCAAAAATAAATAAATGTTTTTAAAAAATTTTAGGGGTGCTTAGGTGGCTCGGTCGGTTAAGCGTCCGACTTCAGCTCAGGTCATGATCTCACAGCTCATGGGTTCGAGCCCCGTGTCGGGCTTTTTGCTGACAGCTCAGAGCCGCGAGCCTGCTTTGGATTCTGTGTCTCCCTCTCTCTCTCTGCCCCTCCCCTGCTTGTGCTCTGTCTCTCTGCCTCTCAAAAAAAGGAAGAAAGAAAAACAAAAAGGTTACGGCTAGTCCTACCAACCACCACCCAGATCTGTCCTACCCTGCCTGTTCCAGAACAGAGCGTGCTTCATTTAGGACTTTATGAGAGGCTTGGAATCCCCATCCCGTGAAGGTCTGACCATCTACTCAGCTCCGTTAACAGAAGATAAAATGAAACGGTGCCTGTGTTGTATTTTCCTTCCTTGACAAGCCATCAGCCCCGTTGAGTGATGCTGGGCTTGCACATCTGGGACTGATCAAAAACCACTGAGTTTACAAAAAATAAAAAATAAAAAGCTTCCTAGGTCTGGACCAAGCAGACACACAGGCACCTCCCATACGTAGTAAATTACACTGGTGACAGAGACAAGAAACGTTCCAGCTCCCACAGGCCGAAGAGGTCAGCGTTTGAGGGTCCTGCCTCCGGGAGACGGTTTTCAAACGCAGCCTACAAAAGGCCAGAGACCCAGCGAGGGGTCTTTGAGGGAGGGACGGAGCGAGGGACTTGAGCCAAGGCCCCAGGCCCTCTGCTACCAAGTCCAGAGAGGGGGCTCTGGGAGCCAGCACGGATCTGGGTCCCAGAGCAGGGTTCTCCGCACGGCGACACCGGTACCTGTCAGCAGAGTGGAGCCCGAGCCCTGGGTCAGGACAGCCCCTCTCCAGGCCCACCCTTAACCCGGGCAGGGATCCCGACCCCACATGGCACGAGAGGCCCTGACCAGCCGCAGCAAGCAGGCTAGCCACTGGATGAACACCTTCCTCCAGGATCTGGAGGGGGGCCCAGCCGGGGGGGGGGGGGGGGGGAGGCAGGGAGGAGGGGGGCCAGCTGTCCCCTGCCCTGGCTGCGTCATGTTGTATACATGCCTTAATCATCCGAGACTCAGTCTCCTTCTTGTAAAAAGGAAGACAGTGCCCACCTCATAAAGAAGGCAGTGAGATCATCCATGTACAACCCTGGGCACATCTGGCTCATTCTAAGTTTCGGTACCAGCTGCTGGTATTCTTATAAATGTCACCATTGCTGTTCCAATTCTACGTCTTAAGAGACTCCGTTAAAAAAAATCAAAAATCTGGGGCGCCTGGGTGGCGCAGTCGGTTAAGCGTCCGACTTCAGCCAGGTCACGATCTCGCGGTCCGTGAGTTCGAGCCCCGCGTCGGGCTCTGGGCTGATGGCTCAGAGCCTGGAACCTGTTTCCGGTTCTGTGTCTCCCTCTCTCTCTGCCCCTCCCCCATTCATGCTCTGTCTCTCTCTGTCCCAAAAATAAATAAATGTTGAAAAAAAAAAAATTTAAAAAAATAAAAAAATAAAAAAAATAAAAAATCAAAATCGACTTCTTTCTCCTCCCAGGGCGCATGTCACTGGGAACTTGGGGCTTGGGCTGAACTCTGCCGACGGTTTTCACCTGGAACCCTCTCGGACAATACGACATCTCGGGTCAGGTCCAGAGGGAGAGTTGGTGGCTGGGCAGAGAACTGTCTTCAAGGAGGCAAGACCCAGCAGTTAAGAGCACAGCGTCTGCAACCAACCAGCCAGCCGGCCAGCCAAGGGTCCTGATGCACAACCTTTACCTCTCCGAGCCTTGGTTTACTCATCTGTAAAATGGGGACCAAGAGGCCTCCTGCCCAGGTGTGTGCCAGGGGTGAAAATGCAGGGAGGTGGCATGTCCTGACACCTGCCACACCCATGCGGAAGCAGCCAGATCAGAGGCAGAAACAGAAAATCAGGTGCACAAAATACCAAGAGTCTCAGAAGGCCTCTCAGTCTATCTGGAGAAGAAGGCGTGCCCCTCACCGCGTGCTGCTGGACCCTCGGCTCTCAACCTGGCCAATTGTGACCCTAGAAGACCCCACTGGGGTCAGGCAGGGTCACGTCATTCTACCAGAACACGGCACCCAAGTGCTCAAGGTGGAAGTTCACAAACCCACTTTGCAGGACAAGCTGGGCATCTGCACAGGCTCCCAGGCGCTTCTCTCGCCTGGAGCAGTAACTCACCTTTTGCCCAAAAGACGTCCAGCTCAAGTTAGCCTTTTCTGGCTTGTCCACCAGCCGAGCCCTGGGCAAGGGAGGCTCTGACTGTCCCTCTGGGGGTCTCCCCAGGACGGCAGAGCCGAGCCCTCAGCGCTCAGGTCAGGAGCCTCTTCCCCCAGCAGGAGTGTATGCAGATGCCCACGCTGGCCAAGAGACCCCCGCATGTGTTCCCAAACCCGCAGGCACTCTGACGCGCCCCGCGCCTGGACACCTCCATCTGGAGCTTTGGAGGCAGGGAGAGCTGGGCTCCATCCGGCCCTGGCTCGAGCTGGACAAACCCACTTCCCCTCTGACCCTCGGTGTCCTCATCTGAAATATGGGAAGAGAAAGGCTACCTGGCAGGTTTGTTGCAAATAAAACCGTGAAGGGGCGTGGCCCTGTAAACCGGGGCAGAACGCACAGGCGGGTGGATGACCGTGGCCATCCACATGTGGGTCGACACATTCAAACCCCTGCAGCATCCACGCCGTCAGCTTTCCCTGTACTGACGCCCACACTGTACACAGGAACGCAACAGATGCTGGCGAACTGCGTAAGGGAGGCAAGACTAAATACCCGGGGGGCACCCGGAGCACGAATATGCGGTCAGACTAAATACCCGGGGGGCTCCCGGAGCACGAATATGCGGTCAGACCGTCAGACCGGCTTTGAGTCCCGACTCCCTCGCCTCCTGACTGCGAGGTCTGGGGCAAACGTCTTGTCCTCGCTGAGCCTCAGTTTCTCCACCTGCGAAAGGCCACTCGGCCGGCCTAGCCGGGTTCCGAGCCGCAGGCAGCGCGCCCAGCACAGTGCCTGCGCAGAGTGAGCCCCAAGAGACGGCGTCTGCCCGGGGCCCCTTCACCTCCTCGGAGATGGCGGGAACGGATGGCAGCTTGGAGAGGAGAGGAAGCGAAGTCACACTTACCTCCGCAGGGCTCCCCAATCACCGGCGTCTCCCGTGTCGTGCAGCGGCAGCAGCGCGGACACGGCGGGCACGGTGGGCGCGGCGGGTCGGTCGCAGAGGCCGTGCACCGGGGGCAGCGGAGGGATGTAGTGGACGCAAAGGCCCCGCGCGCCGCCTCTTGTAGGATCCTCGCGCCACGCCCCCCCGGCGGCCAGCAGCGCTGATAGGGCCGTGGAGCCGAGGCCCCGCCCCGGCCCCGCCCGTCCCTCCCGGAGAGAGCCGCAGGCGCCGATCCGGGCGGGCGGGGTAGGGGAGGCCCGGAGCAGGCGACCAGAGAGAGATCTTGGCTGGAGGAGGACAGGACGCGGACGCGCGCAGTTTCTTCACTGCGACCATGAAAGTACCGTTTCCACTGAGCGCTTACTATGCGCCCGGCGGGGCGCCAAGCACTTTCCACCAGGAGTTTGCAAACTTACCAAATCCCATCTCCCTGTGGTTCAAGTGGAAAATGGGAACAGGGAAGTGACCTCCCGGGTTTGCAGCAAATAAAACCGGGAAGGGTGTGGGCTCCGTAAACTGTGGCACAGAATACACATTTGCTGAATTTACTCCCATCCTCCGCACGGTGGTAGAAAACTCCACTCATCACACGCACAGACACACACACGCACACACACGTACACAAGCACATTCCCAGCGTGCAGATAAAGAAAGGAAGGAAGCCTCAAGAGATGGTCCCAGATGGGGGCAGTTAAGCGATGGTCCAGACTGGGCACTTGACCTTCACGATCCCAGAACACGTTCACAGGAATCCAGTGGTGTGGTGGAAGTGGTCCCGTTTCACAGATCAGACAGCTGAGGCCTGGAGAAGAGAGTGCCCGGAGTCCCGCTGCCGGCCAGCAGTAGGCTTGGTCTAGCTACATTATGCCCGCAGGCATTTAGCGTCCTTAACCGGTGCAGGTAACTACCTGGTCAATTTAGAGCCAGGAGAAACTGCCTTTGAAACACAAAAATCTAAGACCCTGGCCAGCAGGTGAAGAAACCAAGGCTAGAGGGGCTGAGGGGCTAAGGGACTAGAGGAGGGGGTGGACCGACTTGTGTGCGGACCAGGGCAGGCAGAGCCTGTCCTCATGGCGCCCGTCCCTGCACGAAGACCGCCAGGAGTCCAGCACTCTGCACCAGCCCCTGTGCTCTGAAGCACCAGCAGGGCGGACAGGCCCCTCTGGGATCTCCCGTGTCAGGGGCACCCGGAAAGGTCAGAGCATATGGGGGTACACTGATGGAGAGCGAGTGGGGCAGGGACGAGGGAAGGCCCTTCGATGACTGGCAGGGCACGTGACGCACAGATTCAGAAATCCGCAACGCTTGCCCAGGGTTTTGGTGCAGCTCAAAAGCAAATAAAGAGCGGCACAGGCCTCCTGTTACCTTCGTTTGTTTCCTTCACTTTTCTCACTTTTGCAGCATCATGCCAGCTCAACGTTCACCTAATACTGACTAAGCAAGCACCTACCGTGTGCCAGGTTCTGTTCCAAACACCGTGGGGTATTCAGTGGTGCGCAGACAGGTCCAGAACATGTGCCCCACTTGACAAAGGACAAACCCCAAGCAGAAGAGATGCTTCTCAGGCACCGGGCCTCCCCCGACCCCCAACAATTCTCCAAGGCTGGTGTCGCTGTTGTCAGGAAAGGCACAGAGGCCATACTGCTCCCGAGGGGAGGAACTGGGGTTTGGACTCACGTTGTTGTCCCCTCAGCTGTCACTTCTGCCATACTCTCAGTCGAATCACAGAGCTTGCCGAGGGTCAAGGAGACAGGACGTCGGTCACGCGTCTCAACAGCCGGAGATCAAAGCGTTTGCAGACGAGATACGTGACAACACACGGCCTGGCCCCGAGCAGACCCTCAAGAGAAGAGAATCCATTCTTCTTAGGGGGCTAAGCTAAGTGGTCCAGTGGAATGGGCACCATATTTCCACCTCCATGGATGAGTGTCAATCCTGACCCCACCATGCACAGCTGTGTGTCTTTGCTGAACCCACTGGAACTCTCTGGGCGACAGCTGCCTCCCAGGGGACAGACTGAGTCTGTAACTCGCTGGTTGGTGCCATCGTTTGGAACCGGTCAGGCTGGGTCCCAATCCCAACGCCTCTGCTTTCAAGCTGCTGGCCTGTGCTCAGGTCCCTGTCCGTAAAATGAAGGTGATGACGATGGCATCCTTCTCCCTGTGGGCTGCCTTTAAAACGTTACATCGTTTCAAGGTATAAATTAATTAAGGGAAAATAATTAGAACCGGATCTGGCCCGTAGCAGGAAGTAGTTAATATCGTTGCTATTAGAGCCAACCAAGTAAAACGACAGACAGAGAATTGTGATTTTGGTGAACAGTTTTCCATCATTGTGCAATCTCAGAATCTAATTTCCACAAAGTAATATGCGAATTTGAATCAGATGATGTGTCATGGGGAATGTGGGTTCCTGAGAGGCCCTGAATGGGAAAGGGCCAAGATGTACCCGAGCCCTCGTGGGAAGGGACTGGCCACTTCTCTCCTTGGAACTCCCAGCCAAGGATCCTTTTTGCTAGCCTGGCAGGAGTCAAGTCATGGAGCATTTGAGACAGAGGAACGTCTTTCGGGCTATAATGGAGCATAGCCTGAAGAGGGAGCATGTATGCAAGCCTGTCCTGAAATCCAGAAGGTCCCTCCCTCTGCCCACTTGCTCTCAGAGCCCAGGTGGGCTGCTCAGAGGGCCAGACACACAAGTGCGGAACAGTGGGTCGCACCAGATGGTCCCGAAGGTTCCACCATTCGGAGCAAAGACCTGGTCTTTCCTTCCTATCTCGACGTGGTCACCACAGGGCTGGTGGGTCTGGACTCACACCAACATCTTCTGCACCAGCTGTTTTCATCAGAAGCTCTTGGGCTGGACATCAAGAGCCCAGGGGACTTCCAGCTTCTGGTCTGTTCCTGCCACACCCGTTGAGCAGCTGCAGAATCGAACTCACTGCGCCTCAACTGGCATGAAAGGCCACTGATGATTTGAGACGAGGAGACGTGGAGGGGGTGCCATTTGGCGATGGGCATGGCTTTGAAAGAGGAACCAGAGGGTCATGAGCGACGGTGGTGACAATCGTGTGGTCCTCCAGGACCTCAGGGGGATGGGTTTGCTTGGCTTGCTAACAGAGGACAAGTTCCTGTTGGCAGGCAACTCTTTGGGGGCCGTGCAAGCCCCGCCGGTGGGGAGACCTGGGGCAAGGTCCTGACGGAGTGAGGTTGTAACCCGCACAAGTCAGCGGAGGCAGAGAAGGGGCTTCTGGAAGGGTGGCAGCTTGGTGTGGAACCCAAGGACAGCCAAGACCCTCAAAGAACCAGAGTCGGTCCTGGAAGGTGATGATGCTTCGTGTGCATTTCTCACAGCCCCGATTTGGGGGCCCTTCCGCCCGCCCTCTGCGGCCAGGCCTCCTCCACCTCCTGTGGACGTGACCATCACACCAGCACGGCCACAACCCCCTACTTCCACAGACGGGTCAGGCTGGGCCCAGGGACCTCCCAGTCGTGAATCCCGGAGACAGAATCTAACTGGCCCTGTTTGGGAGTGGACGTCCACCCTGGTCAATCGAGTGACACCCAGGCAACACGACCACGACGGCAGGCACCACGGGCTGGGGGGATGGGCCCGATGGCCAGACTGGTGGGGGTGGCCCCCGAGGAGTCTTCACATCCTTCCAAAAGGGGGGACCCCACATTGTAGTTTCACGAGGCCCCCTGCTCATCCTGCTTTGACGTTAATCGTGGTCAGCCCACGCCAGCGTCCGAGACATGCCTGGGTTCCCGCCACCATCGGGGTTTCCGCGCCCTCCCTCTCTCATCTCCAGGCATCAAGGCCAGAGGACGCCACGACCGTGACTGGAAACTCTTCAGGAAACCCGGCTTTTTTGGTGAAGGCTGCCACGGTGATTGCTTTCTCCCTGGGTCACGATCAGGCTTTTCCAGGGAGGCTTGGCCCGGAGTGTCACGCCCAGGGTGTGGTGTTTCCGGAAGATTCTAAACCTTTCTGTCAGCCTGGGAGGAAGCCAAGCCTCCGGATGCTGCTCATCTCCCGGGTCCCCCAGGGCCTGTGCTGGGTCCTTGTGTGAGCTGGGCCCCTGAGGGCAGCACCGCGCCCCCTGCTGGGGAGGGGCCCTCGCACACCTCCTCACGGCCCGAGCTTCCAGATGCCCCGTGGGGCCTTGAATCCAAGCCCCATCACACCTGCCTTGACGTCTCTGCCCCCCCCCCCCCCCCCCGTCTACTCACCTGTAGATGGGAATACGAATAGTGCACGTTACGGTTCCATGGCCGGGAATGAGCTAGTAACGGTTGAGAATCCACAGTATCAACCCTTCTATCTTCATTCTCCAAGTTGTCCACACTCCCGTTCCTATAAACGCTGTGCCTGCCAAGCATGACCCCCCTCACCACCCCACCCCAGAAAACAGTCAAATAAGTAAGTCTGTGGTCAACGTTTGAAAAGCAGGGTGCGTGAGTACATCTGGTGACAGATGACCACGGACCGGGGGGGGGGGGGGGGACTGTAAGCGCCAGAATTTGTCCTGGCCCAGAACCCCGCGTCTGAAACCCAAGTGTCGGCAGGACCCGTATTCCCTCTGGAGCCTGAAGGCGGGGGACTCCTGCCTCCTCCGGTTTCTGTTCTGTTCGGATCTTGTCTTCTTCGAGGGACACCAGCCACGTACGATTAGAGCCACGGCAACTCTGATGGCATCTCACCTTATGGCATCTGCCAAGATCCTTCTTCCAAATATGGCCACGTTCTGAGGTTCCGGGCAGACGTGAGTTTGGGAAGGACCCTCCTCCCTCCACTCTGGACCACATGACCAAGAATGTGGCAGAAGCGATGCTTGCCCCTTGCGGAAGCCCCCCACCATTGCTGTCAGGAAGCCCAAGCCGCCCTGGGGTGGGGGAGGAACCAACAGCGGGCGGCAGGCCGGGACCCGCAGACGTGCCAAGTCCTAGCAGGTGCTTCGACCCAGGGACAAGTGTAAGAACGACCTCGTCCTGGGGGCAGGTATTCGGGATCACGGTCCTCAGTTCCGTAACAGGGGTCTGGCGCTCATCGGGTCTTGCTTTCAACCCAGGCGGAAGATGAAAGTCGTCAGAGATCGTTATG